ATTGCTCATCCAGCCAAAATAGACACTACTGTCCAGACCAGGGCTTCCCACTTGGATTTTTTAAATTTTTCAACAATGCACTGAAGTGAAATGAAGAGCAAGCAACATGTATGTGCAGATGATCTTCTGAAATCAGTGGCTGGTTTCCCTACTACAGAAATTTATCAATGCTTATGAATAGGGCATTTGGTTGGTTTTATTTTAAAAGAAAACAAAAGACTTCCATTTGCCACTGGAAAAATTGTATGTAATAAATACAGCAAATGTACCTAATTTTTCATTCCACTTCTTAAAGTAGTTGTTGGCCTAATGGTTAAAAATCAGGATAATGAGTTACTTGTGTTTAACATTTCTGAAAGACTGGGAACGTTATTAACAATGGATATACCATAAGTGCTGTATTTAAACAACAGTGATATTTCATTATTTATTACTTTCTCTCTCACTTAAAATGATGATTTGTTTCAGATCAGTGTCTCTGGCAGACTTCAGGTTTGGATAGTACTGAAAACATTCTCTCTTGTTCCTAGAATGTTTCTTTCTCTAATGAAGAGTTTTAATAACAGGATTGTTAGTAAGATGCTACTATTTATGCAGTTGTGAAGAGCACCAGCTCTTAGTGTTTTATTCAGTCTGTGTTAGAGAAAAATTACTGCACAAAATGCAAGGCAAAAGTAAATCAACCTTTTCTGGAATCCTGTTCTTGGCTGAAAAGTTGTGGAGGTGATTGCCAGTTACAGTATAGGCCATTATGCTGTGGTCATGGATTCACAGTGGATTGTCTCATTTAGAGGGAAACTTTTGTTTCTCCATCCCCATATAACATTCTTCTTGGGGAAAAGAAGGATTTTCTCTCTGAACTGCTTCAGAGACTGTCCACCTCTCCAGCTGATCTAACTCTGTCCCTTGCTCATCATATAAACTCCTATCCTTTTCGGAAAAGATCTGTGTATCTCTGAGCATCCACAGAGTGGGAGTTTATGAGCAGCAAAATTCATAGGTGTGGTTACTAGCAGGTCGCTGCAGCATTAGGCTGTCTCAGACCTGTATGCTTCCCTTTGCTCTTCTTCGTCAGTGGAATCTTTCTCTTGTGTCATGTAGGGTTCCTCATGCTCGTTCTTTTTCAAATAGTGCCTTTAACTTAGGATAAAAAGTCCATGTTAACTTACACATCCCCTTGCTTTTCAGTGTTTTCATGTTTCCTTCTTTACTCTCCACCTTCAGTTATAGGGCCGGTTCTGGTGCAGTTCAGTGGCTAAGATCAAAAGCAGCCCAATGCTTCTAGCCAGCTCCAGGATGCAACAACCTATTTGAAAGCCCCAGTGTGTCAGTGTCCACGAGCCCCCAGGAATGACCTGTGGGTGGGGATCTGAAGTGTGCCTGAAGGAATGTGTGTGTGTACAGCTATGTGGGTGGTTGAGAGAAACTGCAAGTGGTTGATTCCCACAGCATCTTAGATTTTCTGTCAGGACAGGCAGGACTTAACTTTAATAGTCGTGAAGGTTACATGCCTGCATTTGAGGAGTTAATTATTCATGAAGCTGACAATTTCAAACTCTATTTGTTGCCTGGCAGATTTGCTTTAGGCCAAGCCAGTGCAAAATATCCTCTTAGCAGCAGCAGCCTTGTTTATTTTCCTTTGGGGAAGACAGAGGTACACAGGTACCTATGCTGGCCTGAATGTGTAGATAAGCTTTACAAATAAGTACCTAACTTATTGACACATTTGTATTGGAGGATTTGTATAGTTTTGAGATGTTCATTTACAGCTGAATATACAGGAGAGGAAAAAGTGGAAGATGCACAGCCTCTTCCATAACCCTGCAAACACAGGACCCTTGTTTCTAAACAGACAATTCTGCCACTTCAGTTTTTTCTGTAACAACTCAGTACTTCAGTCACACAGTTGCTTCTTATTCTCTCATAGGTCTGTTATTATGTAGATAAATAATACATCTTAAATAGTTAATGTTCTCCATGTCATTAAAAGGACTTAAGAATCAGAAGCCCACAGGAACTCAAATCCACATGTAAGCCATCTCTCAGTAGTTTACACTTAACTGAAATTACAGGACAGAAACAGAAGTCCTGAGTACAAACTCAATTAGGCTTTCATCATAGTAGCAGGAGAGTGTTATCCTATAGATGGACTTACTAAGAGGGTTTTGGGGTTTTTTTTGCTTAGTCTGGCATGGAAATGGTGAAAGGAAGTGGCTCGGGGAGGAGGGAGGAAGCAAGGCAGAGCGGCATGTTTTATTTTCATTCTAAAATTACATTCATTGAATTTAGTACAGTGAAAAGTGCTGTCTTGGGCTGTTCAGAGAGTTATCTGAAAGTTCTGTCTCCACAAAACAGTGATGACAGTGCATTTTTTTTCTTGATTTTTAAAATGCAAATCAGGAGAAGAGGAATACTGCATTAAATCTCACGTTTTCTCATTCTGTCCTTTGATACCATGGTGTAAATCAAGAATGATTTCTTGAGGGTGATGAAATTAATTAGTATAAAATCAGTGTGACTGAGTTTTATTTTTGCGAAGTCTTGGTGTCTTCTAGCAGTTTATTTACTTTTCGTTTGAGTAAACAGAATGGTTTAAACTTAATTTTTGATTTTCTAAGTTAGTAGCTAGAAAGACAGAGGACACTGTGAAGATAGCCTGTACAGCATGACAGTGTCCCAGAAGCTCATGGTTAAACCCTTCTCTGACTCAATGATGGGGTGCTTCAGGGAGGACAAAAGAAAAATACTTCACGAATAAGCCACGTTCAGTGAAACAGATGTCTTAATTTGGGAGCAACAAGATTGGAAATCAAACCCTGAAGTGTGAGATACCACAAGTCTGGTATATCACTGGTGAAGACTCAGAGAACAATTGTTTCTCACCTTCATTGACCTCTGAAAATAATTGGTCTGCACCATGTTACAATACAACACTGTGCCACAGATCCCAGGAGTCTCGATATAGAGGACTGAGCTAAAAGTTCTGCTGAGATTTGAAAGTAACTGAGAACAGTGTAAAAAGTGCTGTCATGCTGCAAGAGTGATGTAGAGCTGCAATTTGTACTAGAAGCAGGAAGGAAGCAATTGGCACAGATTGAAACAGTGTGCACAGTTTCAGCAGGGTGGTGCCAAGTAGTTGCTATCCAAACACAGAACAAAGCCAAAGGGAAGAAGTGTAAGGAAGGCTGCAGCTGCTCTGAACAGTGAACAGAGAGCCAGTAGTGCTATGGTTAATATTATAAATTGAATAGAAAAAAACCATATGGAAGAGTGAGTGTGGCTGGACATCACAGCATCTTTCCCCAGCTGTGCTTCTCATTTGCTTTGGGCTGAGGACACACTTACACATTTTCAAATGGATTTGTCAGTGCATTGCATTCTTAACTTTTGTGACTTGTTTATGTCATGGCTGAAAGTGAGGAGGTCAGCATTTAACCAAATGAGACTGAGAAATTATGTGACTAGAAATATCCAGAAGACTTGAGCATGCTGTAAAAGAGATGTGACTGGAAGCAAGTTGGGAGTTTATTTCTCCTCTTAATAACCAGTGATTAATAGTTCCAAATTTATTATTAACTGTGTAGAAAAAGCATGGACAAGTACCCACAGGAGACTGCTGGAGTCCCTGAAGAAGCTCTAGTTCGCTTCATTGGAGCCAGTTTGTAGTAAGGCAGTAGTCTATGTATTTATCCTTCAGTAAGACATGTGAAGTCCTGTGTTCGGAGTTTCATTGGACTGCAAATCTGGTGTTGAAATTCCAGATAAAGCAATTTGTTTGGCTCTGCGGTTTGCACCAAGGAATGGGTTGGCTTCTTAACTGCAGCCCAGCCTAGGAGCTGCTAGCTAAGTTAGGCTTTTTCCTACTCTGTGATGTCATTGCTCATAAATACTCTGCAAAGCACAGCAGGTCTTAGTGACACCAGGGAGGTGCAATTTCTCTTTACTTCTGTTATAACTGAATTAAACTAAATGGCAATTTGGCATATAGTGTGTGGAGTGGGATGGGATCCAGCCCATCAGGTGTTGTGCTTCATGTGCATGTTTGACAAGAGTAAAAGCTGAAGCCAACATGATCTCACTTGAATAACCTACAATTCTTCCAGCTACAGATTTTCTTAATGGCAGTAGAGTTAAGAGCTCAGGGTACCATCTTAAACTCACTTGTAGGAGTTATCTTAATGCACTTTCATGCAAGTCAGCAGATTAAGATGAAAATTTTGCAGAAGGTAATGCTTCATGTATGTTACTTAGCTCTTTCTTTTTTTTAAGTCTTGGGGTTCTGTTCCATATTTTGGGGGTAGTTCAGACATCCTGATCCCGTCAGGGATATCCATATCCTTTTGCCAATATAATCACTTAACAGCACTCTGTATTATTTGAGGATAAGGATATAGTAAGTAATAACAAGTAAGAAGAACTTAGAATTGTATCAGCATATGCTGATGTTCGTCCACACCACAGTGGCATTCATTGCAGTCCTAAGTTTATCCAGGAGGGTAAATTAAAATAGTAAATGAAACCATAATTAAGTACCTTTTTATTAGGATCATAAAAGCTTTGGAAGGAGCTAGAGAACAGCAGAAGCTACGTCTACACTGCAAACATATGACCATCTAGTTTTGCTGATTTGTGAGCTTTTGTTGATGTCAGGTGTCAACAAAAGCCCTTAGTCCAGTGTGGTTCAATTGGCAGAACTTCTTATTGATAGAATGCACTTTGAGTTGTTCGAGGTGGAATACAGTGTTTCATCAGAAACACAGTTTTAGTGGCAGGAACTGCAGGAGCATCAAGGATGCTGGTGGCTTCACAGCTGAATGGTCACAATGTGGGATGTGGAGTCATGGTTACTCACATGACCTTATCTGGCTGGAGAAGATACTGGTGGGAATTTATTTGCATATAAGTTGCTAAGTGCTGGATGGTGTTCTAATAGCAAAGAACTCAACAACGACTGTCTCTAACCGATTCTTCCTTTCTGTTTTGCTCTGTTTCTCCTGCAGGGCTTGTGAAGTTGGGGGTTCACTGTGTCACGTGTCAGAAGGTCGCGATAAAAATTGTCAACAGAGAGAAGCTCAGTGAGTCGGTGCTAATGAAGGTAATTTTCTAATGGGAGATTTAAAAAAAAAATTAAATTCCTGGCTCTGTGTCTTCTGTTCCATGCAAAATTAATATCTTTAATTATGTATAACAAACATCCCTGTCAGTACTAGGATTATGCAGAGCATAATAACAATAATTTAGTTATGGGGAAGGCTAGGGCAGTTGAAATTAAATGGGAGTATGCCTGTGCTTTGTGAACAAAATAAACGGTCAGCTGTAGAGGTCTTGCTTCTCTGTTGGGGCAGGTGTGTGTTGGGCATTGGACTTCCACCACTGCAGTTGTGTGGTTGCGGTACATTGCAGACTGAGGTGTACAAATGTCAGCATGAGGAGATTTAACAGAGGCTAGTAAATCTGTTACTTGAATACTCCTACTGCTTGCTCTGATGCATGGGTTCTTTATGATCTGATGTGCCAAGGTCTGTGACTGTTTAGAGCTGTTGTAATTCTGTTTACAATCCACAGAACTGTGCCATTGGAAACCATCAAGGTGTTTGTCCCAATGGTCCCAATGACTGTTAGTGTTCAGAAGAGCTTAGTTTGTTTTTTACCTAGCCTTGTGATTCTCCTCACATGAATGTCATTGATTGATCTTGGAAACCTAAAAATAAAATAAATGTATGCATAACAGTTTATGCATGTGATTTGGTGACTAGAAAGGCTAAATTCATCTTGATGGGAAGGAACACAACTGCAGTGCAATCAACGAATTCCATCACGCTGTCACCTGCAAATTACGCTAACAGGTTTGTGTGCAGCGTGGAGCACTTTGCTGAGGTAACTTCCCTATAGAAGCACACAGAGCATATAAGTTTATACTGCTGTTTCCTATATGGACTTCTGTGTCAGCTGTTTCCAAGCACAAGTATAGCAATCTTACTCAGAGCAGAAAGAAAATGGATTTTCAGCTAATATAGAGTCAGTGAATGTTACACAAAAAAATATAAGTTTATTTTTTTTTCAGAGAAGAATTCTGAAAGTTTACATTCCATTGTAATGTGTTCAGACTTTACCTTTCTGGAATTTCATTGATATATTCCTTCTCCTGCAGTACTGTGGATTCAAACAGACTTCTAATATAGACCAAAAGTTAGAAAGTGAAATAGGTAAGAAAACTGTGTGCAAATGGTAAAATCTGAATGAGACACTAAACACTGGATATTTTCCAGAGTAAAATAATAGGAATATTTTTAACAAACATGAGCATTTTGTTCTCTGAGAGACACTGTCTGGTATTTGTATAAAACATTTTATTTACCTCATTGATTTTCAGAGTAGGAGGCAAATCACTTAGCATAGCAAAGCAATCTCTCTGCTTTAGTTGTGTTGCATTACCTCGGTTGTAGTATGAAATTGGAGTTGTGAAATGGTGTGTTAGGCCCTTGTTTGCACAGCCACATGCTGAAGCGTGCCATGTTTTCTGTAGGATTGTACAGCATCTTTCTCAGGAGGAAATCACATGTTTTATTGTGGTTCTCATTTTCAGACCCTTCTTGGTAAGATTTTCTCTTTCAAGGATTCTGTTCTCTGTGCTCAGGAGTTGGAACAACAGATGGGATTGAAGTGGTTTGCCCAGTTCTTGCATAAATTCAGTAACCAGATGTCTTTTCAGGAATGCCCTCTGTCTGCTGGTCACAGACAGGGCCTGAGACTTCTAAGTGAATTTAGAATTGACTGTACTGTTAGCCAGCTTAATCCAGTCTGTCTGGAGGGGAAAAATGCAGTTTTTGGCAATCCCAGTGTGACCATTGCGAAGCATCCAGCTGACAGCCTGCTGTGTGGAGTCAGCAACCGCAGGGAAATAGCCAACAGTGAAACCAAGTCACAGTACTGTGGTGGTGTTCCTACCTTGTGCAGCTTCCCACTAGCTTATCAGTTCTACTGACTTTCTTTGCCAGTGGGCTGTGCAGAACAGCCCCTGGAGCCAAATGATTCAAGACCATATCTACTCTCCCAAGCCAGGCCCAGATTGATGGATTTTGCTTTAATCCAGCCTTGGACAGAAAAACTGGATCTGACAAACATGCACACCTGCCACATGAAGCTGTAACAGTGCAGTGCTGTGGCCATTTATCCTAGAGCATAAGGAAGAAGTCTGCTCACGGTCCTTTCAACATCTGAAGTGACAGGCACAAGCATATACAGCAGGCTGCTTTCCTTGTCATCATTATTCTATTTTGACTTGCTTCTTGTAGCCTTCATTTCTCCAGTGTTTTTGCAGTATTTTATTCTGTATGTTCAGGGAACTGTCCCTTCTCTCTGCAGCTGCTCTTCATCTGAGCTGTGCAGAATTGAGAGGCATTTGGTAAAGTGCTTTCTAATCATAATGCCGTAGTATCGATATTTCTGGAGAGAAAAATTTGGAATTGAAGCAGCTGGTCTCAATTAGCAGAACTGCTGCTATGGAGATGATACACGGGCAGGCACGCTGCAGCACAAGCTGCAGTAAATGTATCATCCAAGCACTTGCTGCCCTGTCAAAGGACAGGGCTGCTTAGTGCACATGGGAGCCTTTTGCTTTGTCATGTCCTTACTCTCTAAATGCAGGCTGGGGAGCAGTGTTCCTTTCCCAGCTCCAGCTTGGGCCTGTTTGGGAGCCTGGCTTTGGGGCAAAGCTACAAATGTAATTTCACAGTTGAGAACAAAGGGTTGGTTCTGTTCTCGCTCCTGCTTTCATGCAACTGGTAAAAGCTTCATCTGGGTTTCTTCAACTGCACTGCGGTAACCCCCACAGATGTGGAGACCTGCCTCCCACCGTACCTCTAGCTTGCTCTAGCACAAATTGGCAGAAAGATTTCAGAAAGGAGTGTGTTGCAGTGAGCATTTTGAGATTGAAATACAGTTCATTGATTTCCCTGAATTACTTCTGGATCGCTGACAGGGAAATTAGGCCCAGAATACAAGAATTGAATGTGTCCTTAAAGCAGTAAGCTTTCCTGAGCAGGTGGGTTCACTACTGATGGTTTAATTTTCAGTACCAGTACAAGTGTTTGGAGTTTATAACTGCAGAATATAAAGGTTAAAGTAAATCTTTCCTCTCATGTGGCAAAAGCTTGTTTGGAAACGTTGAGGTGTCTCATGAGACATAGTCAGGAGAATCCTGTCTCCTCTTTACTGCCTCACCAGTTCTCTTCCACTCCCTCCTTCCAAAGAATAAACAACAACAAAAAAACCTACTCATTTGGTGATCCATCAGATGACATACTCTTTGGACAGACAGAGGTAGTAGAAGCAATGGGAGCATAAAGGGTGAAGAGCAGGAAGGGGACAGCTGGCCCTGGTCTAATTACTTGAACACACGGGCATCCTGAGAAAGCCACAGATGTCCCAGGCTTGATGATTGAAGCCCAGAGCTCCATATGTGTGCTTTGTGTCCATGTGCCTTTTGTTTCTTCTGAGTCCTCTAGTGCTGGCCTTGAAGCAAGGCAGATATTTCCAGGGCGGGGGATGGGAAAGAACACAGTCCTACTTTAGCGGAGCTCAATTGTGACACGAGTAGTGGGTTGGGGGAGGCTGTCAGTTGGTTTAGTGCTAATGAGCTCTGCTTCCAAAAAATTCTGCAAAGGCATAGTGTGTGTTCTTAAGCTGGGAAGGTCTTGCAATAACCACTAATGGAAATCACTGGTTGGCTGAAATAATTGAGTGGAAGGATAGGTAGGAGAATCGAGTATCAGCGTCTTGGAATTGACAGGATAACTTGGGGAAGCATACTTGTAAATGGGCACTGCTTTGCATGGTCTTTTTGTCATCTCTTGCTTCTTTGTGAGCTTCTATTTCAGTAGGTGTTTACTTCTCTGCTACCTTATCCTACTTTTGAGTCTTTCCCTTCCTTCTTTGTCCTTCAAGGAAAAAGTTTAGAAATTTGGCAAATTTAGAAAGTATCTGAGAGAATAAGTAAACAATCAGAGCTTGGGTTTTATAAGACTCAAGGGTCTCAATCCACCTAGTTTATTAAAGAGAAGGTTAAGACATAGCTTCATCATGGTCTGTAAAGAGTGATAAGGAGGATAGGCACATGATAACAGAGGGTATTACAGTCTTGGGTACAAAAAGTGTATTGGAAACTAATAGTTATAAGCTGTAACTAGATTGAATGTAGAAATACTAGGCCTTTTTGATCACTGGATGAAGTTACTAATTGGAACTAGCCACCCAAAGCTCTAGTGAGTTTGTCCCCTGAAAGACTATTAAACTTCCTCTTAAACTTCTGTGTGTTTTTCTAGACCCGAGATCCTAGTTCGACTTCAGCTGCTGGACTTGAAGTAGGAAGTAGTTGATAATAGTTTCCTGATCCGTGCTATTAGCTCTGATTAGATTAATGCAGCAACCTCTCTGGCCTTAAAATCCACAGAGCTGTGAATTTCCATCACACACTTGAAAATCTGTAAAAAGTCACATGTCTCTGTCTGGAGCATAAAAGAGAGGCACTTGTGCAAGGTGTCTGCGGAAGCAGAAATTTAGGCTCCCCTAAGCGAAGTTAAAGAAGGTAATACTTGGGAACAGCATCTTCTCTTTGGAATTTGTTTTCAGATTTTTCAAAGAAAAGACTGTGATATTGGCTGACCTAGCTGTCCTCAGCTGCTGATTGCAGGCTGGTCTACAGAAATGATTACTAGAATATCAGAACAGTATCAGGGAGAAGCTAAATCCGAGGCAGAGATAGAATTGGACTGAATAGTGTAACTTGGTTCAAGTTCAGCTTTGATCACAACAAGGGCAGTTTCCCTGACATTAACAAAGCCAAACTCACCAACACTAAACCTCGATGTCACCAAATCGATATTTTTTCTAATGTACTCAATAGTGGCCTAATTGTTTTCCAGCTCCAGTATTTAGGAGTTTTGCTATTGATTGCAGTGGAAATGGTGTTAAGCTGCTGCTGAATCCCACTGAGTACATCTACCATTGGGTACAAATGAACACAAGACCATGGGATATCACCAGTGAGATGCATTTAGATTAATCTAGGTTACTGGCAGACAAGATTTTGGACGT